TAAGAAATTGAACTTTTTCTGTTCTAATATTTAGACCAAGAACCTAGAATGTAGCAAGTGTCTATTCACCCCATCTCAGTGAGTATTCCAAAAGATGAAATACTTTTAAAATGAATTCTTGATTGGTGCCAGATTAAAACTGATAGGCCAGTAATGGCCACCAAAATTTTTATTTCAAGTGCAGTCATTTTTGGCTCTTTTCACAGACAGCCTTTCTTCTAGACATATTTCAGCATATTTTGAGGATTCATTGTAGAAATTGGTTATCAATACAGCAGGAGCAAGCCCTATTAGCCAACAACGAAGAAAAAGAAAAAAAGGTTCCATCATCCAGTTTCAGGTTCTTGAAAGCCTTAATGGGTGGAATGTAATTAATCAGCTTGGGATTCATCCAGGTTGAGGACTGACCCCTCATCTCTTAAGTTGCCTGCTTGTCCCTTTTATTCCTCATTGAAGAAGCAAAGCCCGCACTGCACTTTCTTAGGTTCAGCTGAACAGTTGGGTGAGGAAACCCAGGTGTCTGCTTCTCCTCACTCTACCCCAGACAGCCTGCATATCACATTCATTGTCTCACAACCTTCTCAGGTGGATATTTCATTATCGACACTTAACAGGTAAGAAAGCTTGAGGTCAAAAGAAACTATATAGTTTCCTAAGATTCACTCAGCTCATCAAGAAGAACTTGAAGCCAGGGCTACCCCATAACAAAGTCCGTGCTTTTCTTTTTCTTTTTATTGAATTTATGGGGGTAGCACTGGCTGGTAAAAACATACAGGTTCCAGTTGCACAATTCCAAAGCACGTCATCTGTACACTATATTGCAGGGGTGTCCAAACTACGGCCTGTTGGGCCACATGGGGCCCCAGATGGCTATCAATGTGGCCCAGCGCAAAACTGTAAATTTACTTAAAACATTATGAGATTTTTTTTTTATGATTACATGTTGCAGTGTATTTCATGTATGGCCCAAGACAACTCTCCTTCCAGTGTGGCCCAGAGGGGCCAAAAGGTTGGACACCCCTGCCAGTATATTGCGCATTCATCGCCCCAAGTCAAGTCCCTGTCCATCGCCATTTATCCTCCCTATAAACTCCTCCACCTCCATTCACACCCCTCCCCCCAAGTCATCACCACACTCTTGTCCTTGTCCATGAGTTTTTTCTCTCTTTTTCTTTTTTGCTCAATCCCTTCACCTCCATCCAGCCCCCAACAACCACCTCCCAACTGTCAGCCTGCTCTCTAAGTTTTAGCTTTTCCTTTGCTTGATGTCACTTAGGAGACGTTGATTCTGCCAGTGCTGTTATGTATACATATAATTATGTGCATCTATAATGAAGATGATACCAGCTTATCCAGATTACTTACCTCTGTCAATCGTTTCTGAGGTATGAGGAAATAATATATTCTGCATAAAACATTTGTAGACCAGTGAGATAACTAATTAGAAACACTAAGTCTCTTCCAACAAGAGTTGCCTAAATGCAAATAGAGTATAATTCTTTACAACACTGGTACCTGGAGTTAGAAGTCACATTTAATGTCTAGGCTGCCCTCATTAGCCAGGCCTTTAGAGTGTGTTCTTATTGGATTTTAGAGGAACATATATTGACCTGGTGTTTAAAAATCTTCTTAATAACGGAACTTCATTGTAATGGGGTTCTGCCATATCATTTAAAAATAATTTGATGCAACTAAATCAGATCAGGGCTTGACACCTAAAACATTATAGGTGCTTTAAAAGACATACAAAAACACTCTACTAACGAGGATGTTGATTGGCAATCAGAAATCCAAGATGGAACATTACATGCTATCATGGCTATCACCGTAAGTGCTTACAAACAGCTGCAGCATCTCTAACACAGACTATCAATTTCCCTGCTGTGCCCCTGCTTTCCCAACTTAAATATAAACCTGAACAACACTGTCTTAGTGCTTTCTAAGTACATTTCATCGTGGCAGGTCATAAACTTGCTAGGTTCTTCTGTGCAAAACAAATAAGCTACAGGAGCTCTGTCCTTGGAGCCATTAATCAAACAGCTTTTGAGAATGTTCCACCCTTGAGGGTGAGCAGTTGTGACACATTTTTCAGTGAACATACCCTTAAAATAAAAAAAAAAAAAAAAAACCATGGCCTTGGCTGGTATTGGGAAAGATCACCTTGCTTTTTGGCCTAATGAAAGGCCTTCACAGTTTGTTCACTGGTAGCAGTTAACTTGCCTAACCTGTGAGCTCCTGGTTACAGGAATTATTTTTCTCATTTCATTTTGTCTCTTTGGGTGCCAAGCACAGTGTCTGATATATAGCAGGTACTATATCTGTCTATATCTATATCTTTATACCTATATCATCTATCTGTATATCTATCTATCTATCTTACGTGTGTGTTAAAGACTTTAAAGCTGTGTGGGAGGAAATCTACCCATGTAATCTAGAGTGGCCTGAAACTCTTTAGGAAGATGGAAATCTTTGATTCGTTTGAGTCCTCACTAACTATATATTTAGTAAATAACAGTGTATTGAATGCGTTACATGGATCAAGTATTATGGATCAAGATAATGACTAACGTGTTTGTGCAAAACATATGATGAAGCATAGAATGGTCCTACTACCTCTTTTATTACACCTGCTTAACATTTATTGAGCAATGATTAGATGGTGGAATCTCTTCTAAGCAATATCTGTATTAATTCATTTAATCCTCAACACAGTTCTGTTGAAGTAGGTGCCATGATTATCTCCATTGTACAAATGGGAGACTAAGGCACAGAGAAGTAAATTTGCTGAAGATCGCACAGTTACAAATGGTATGGCTGGGATTTGAATCCAGGCAGTCTGACAAAAGAGCACATACTTGTATGTACTGGAGTCTTGGTCAGATGGGAGAAGCAGGGACTCTCAAATGAGGGTCCCCCCCCGGCAACTGAGTTGTGGTTAGAGAAGGCTTCCCGGTGTCAGAGACATCAGTGTTAAGTCATGGATGATGGGTAGGAATTAGACAAGTGAGGAAGGAGGAAGAGGTGGGTGTAAATATGTTCTGTTCAGATGCCACATCATATACAGAATTGGTCATTGTAGTTGGGAAGTGTGTGTGTGTGTTTGTGGTAAATGATAAAAGTATGAGGGGAGAGCCAGGTTATCTAAATCTTTGTTAAGCTGTGTTATTAAATGGCTTTTTGTCTTAGAGATGGTGGTGAGCCATTGAAGGGTTTTAATCAGGTGACATGGTACGACTTGCATGTTTAGAAGTTAGTTGGGCTTCTATGTTGAGAAAAGAGGCAAGAAAGATTAATTAGGAGGCTTTGCAGCAGCCCAGAAAAAGGGCAATGGAGACTGGCAGTTGGGGGGGAGGGAGCAGTTTCGAAGGAGATCCGTGCGGTAGAATCAACAGGACTTTATAATTGATACAATGGACAGGAAAGAGGCGTTAGAGGGAAGAGTAACATTTACAGTATTTTAAAGAATAAGCTGTGAATTTCACAATTCCTGCTTCAGGCCAGCATTTTATTGTTCTCACCATTTATTTCTTTACAGAAAGGGAAGGGCAAGTTCAATGTTACAGGAACAGGTGTACATAGTTTTCTGTGGACTTCTGGCCCACTGGGCTTTCATTTAGAATGCTGTAGCTTCTTTAGCTCATGACACTTGTGGCAGATTCCTTCAGTAAAGCTTTTGTGCATGCAGCCTCTTAAGAAGAGCAGTGCTGATCCCTATATTTGCCATAAGAAAGAGAATGAAATGCAAAAGAAGAAGGAAGAAATTATACTGATATTCTCATGCATAATAGGTGTCATATCAGTAGGTGTTAAGACTGAAAATGTCTTTTAATCTCAATTATATTTGAACCTTCTTCCATTTTTTATTGATTAATTTTAGAGAGTTGGTGGGCGGGGCAGGGGGGAGAGAGAGAGATTGATTTGTTTTTCCACTTATGCATTCATTTGTTGATTCTTGCATGTACCCTGACTGGGGATCAAACCCACAGTCTTGGCCTGTTGGGTCACCCTGGTAACCAGCTGAGCTACCTGGCCTGGTCTCTTGTTCCATTTTTATACACATAAACACATGTTTGAAATTGTGTGTGTGTGTGTGTGTGTGTGTGTGTGCACTTTCATGTGTATGATTGGACACAACAAAATATTTTCCGTCAACCTTGGGTAATTTTTTTATAATGGGAAATTCTAAACATATCATAGTATTCAAGAGGAAAAGAAAACATTTTCTCTGTGAAAACCATGCCTTGTCCTTTTCCTCTAACCTTTGTTTCTGGAATCCCTGGCAACAGAAGTTGTGTTCCCTTTTAGGATTTTTCTCCTGGCTGATAGGTTCAATCTGTGGCTCAAGAAAACAAATAAATGTAGCATTATCTGAGTGTCTTGCTTTTTCTACACAATCCAGGTTTTCAAATGGTAAAACATCTGCCCTATGTAAAATTTTAAACCTCTGTACTAATTCTTTGATCCTTTTCTTTAACCTTTCATCTTTGTAATTTTTGTTTATTCGAGTGTAAGATTCTTTAAAAACCTTTTTCCAGTTAGGAACCAAAAGTGATGGAGGCTCTTTGGGAGTTTGCTGTGGTTTTGACAACCACATGAACAATGATTTATGATATTCCTCATGAAAGAGCATTAGCTGGAGGGGAGGAAGCAGGTGGCATCTTATCAAACAGGACCTTATTCATAAGAGGCCACTAGAATTCAGGTAGAGTGCTAACTGCTTTATAGGCATTAGCTTATGTGACCTTTGCAAGAGGTGAGCAATGACATGATTATTTATTTTACACTGAGGAAAGTAAGGTCGGGAAATTTATCTAGGCATACTTTTCCAGTGCTGGACAAAAAGGGATGGAGATGAATTTGAACTTTGCTGTCCTTACTTCAAAATTTATGCTTTTAACCAAAACACTGTAGTTTAGGGTGCCTATAGGGCTATTTCAGGGGAGAGCACAGAAGGGAGAGAGGGAAGAGGAAGGAGGAAAGGAAAGGATGGGAAAGGCATTACATAGGTAAGCTAGCTGCTCTAACAAAGAGGACCACAGATATATAATGGCTCAAATGTGGTACAAATTTATTTCTTGCTCATCCAACAGTACTGGGCAGGTGAAGTCATGTCCTATCATGGTGGAGCTGCCATGAGTCTTCAGTTACTCAGGCGCCTGCCTGGGCTGATGTCATCTCTAATATGTAGCTTCCATGTTCCCCCTGGGGATGATGTCTACCTAGAAGGGGCAAATTTCGTAAAGGAATGAATGTGTGTGGAAGGATTTTACAGGCCATGTCTACATATGACACACATCTCTACCACTCTCATTTTTTGACCAGTTACACAGCTCTACCTAATACAAAGAAGGCAAGAAAATGTAGCCAGGTCTGGATCCCTGGGAGAAGAGGAGTGCATGGATTTTGCTGATCTGTCAGGAACCAATAGGTCATGGGTCCCTATTAGAATCAAGTCTCCATGTTCATGTTTATATTTTTCATTTTCCCATGCTTTGTGAGATGGAGATCGCTTGTCTCATTTTACAAAGCAAAGAATTGAGAACTATGTATATCCTTTTCTCTAACATTGCCCAAGGTCATGTGGCTATTAAATGGTAGAGCCGAAATCCCAACCTGGCTCTTTCATTCCTACACCCTGCTTTTTCCTCCTGTCATATTGCATACATTATTCCTGCCTCTCGCTTACTGCCACAGTCTAGTTCTTTGATAAGAAGCAATTCAGAAAGCAAGATTCAAATCCCAGTTAACTCTGTGCTACTCAAAACATGGTCCATGGACCAGCAGCGTCAAAGTCGCTGCTTGAGACTTTGCAGGGAGCAGGGAGCTTGTTAGAAATGTTCAGTTTCAGTCACCACCCCAAATCTGTGGAACATGACCTGTCACGGTACCGGTCTCCCGTGGTGATCTGGGTGCCAGGTAGAGCCTCAGAAGCCCTGGACGGGCTCCCGTAAGCCAACTTCTCAACCTGATCCTGTGTGTGACCGTCATCTTTCCTCCATGCATCAGAAGAAATGGATTCCCTCTATGTTTGTGACAGAATATAACTAGTCGAGTAAAAGTTCAGCCTTTATGCCGAGTAAACACATTTAACCTAGAAAGGACTAGTACTTAGCAGTATAATATTGAATGACCGCTGAGCCCAATTTTTTGCAAAGTACAAGCTGTTTCCATAGATATCCAAACAGGCCTGAGCAAAACACAAGAAAAAAGAACTTGGCTGTTTTGGTTTATGGACAATTTGATTTTCTAAAAAGAGTAGTTTTGCTTCTTTTTCCGAGAACATAAGCATACCGATGTCTCAGCCTGTGCAGTTTCTCTGCCACAGATGGTAGTTAGGGCAAAAACAGAATAACGGCACACGCTATCAAGCCATCTGACCCACAATCCCAAATTTCCCACAGTAATTTAATTATTAATGTACCAACTGTTAACCTTGCACTACAGTTACAGAGGGTGAAGGCTGGTTAGATGCTTCACGGTTGATGCGTGTCAGGGAGGGACTTCCTTGTGAAAGTTCCCCGGTGAGTCTCACGATAATCATTTTCTTAGAGCACCATTCACTGCAGAGGAAGAGGGAAGGGGAATAGTTACCAGAGGTGTCCAAGTGCTGTAACAATGGCCTGGCACAGCCTTCTTACGTGGGAGGAGTGGGACCTGACGCCCTCCTCAGCTCAAGGGCCACACAAGCCAGGCACTACTGTTTTGAAACAGTATCATAAAACTCTTTTCCCAGAGTTTTGCTCTCTTGATAGGTTTACTCCACATATGTGATTTTCCTTAAAATAAGGAAATCGGAAACAGTAGCTGTTCTGGCACATGACCTCATGCAGCCACTACAACATACCTATTTCCTTATACTGTTTTTACTCACTAAATCTCACAAGCCCCTCAGCAAATGTTTCCATTTAGTTTTCTTGGAGATTTTGACACTGAGAACAAGAACTTGCTTACAGTCAGAGCAAGCAGAATTCCAGTGGTAGGGACTCTCGCAGCTACAACTCTGTTATCAGCTCACAGTGGGTGGGTGGGTGGCTTGCAAACTGTAAGACTTTTTAGCACATGTCAGTGACCTTCTCCCATAAACTGAAATTGCCCTATAAATTAAGTAAGGTGTTTGCCACTCTTATAGTAATGTATTTCATTACAGTCAAATTGAAAAAGGTTTTGTATTGATATTTCATTGGGAAGATTTCCAGGCAGGATTTGACTTACAAGAATAGCATGAAGGTAGGTGTACATTACTTCTGAGTTTTCAAGTGATTTAACTTAAGAGAAGTACACAAAGAGAATTAAACATACAGAAAATATATTTGTTTATAAAGCTCCAAGATTGCATTTTAGGAAAGTTTCAAGCAAAGATGTTTGCTTACTAATTCATCCATGATTATTCCAACAGGCGCTCTCATAACAATTATAGCTGCCTTTGATTACGTGCTTTACACATGGCTGGGCACTGTGCTCAGCCATCGGCCTGTGCTTATCTAATGTCACCCTAACCAGAACTTACCAGGTAGACATCACTGCCTCCAGCATGCAGCTTGAGAGAACTGTAGAGAGGATCTCACGACTAGCAGATGTGAATCTGCTGGGTTCCAGTGTCCTCTACTGCAGTGACGGCCGTGTGTTTCTGATGATAGTTGACATGTAAGATGAACATTGTTTGTACATATCATGACTGCAAAGGGTCCTCTCACCCATACAATGCCTTATTCACTTCTTTATTGTTTAATAAACCTATATCAAGAACTCGTGTGCTCAGAGGACACTAAAATGAGAAAGATTCACAGGTCCTGCCCTCCTGGAGTTCCCCATCTAGTACTTTAATAAAGTTTTATTGTCTTTTCATTCTTGGTGATTGCATAAGTAATAAAGATATGTTGTATGCTGGACAGCCTTAAGTAAGCAGGATGGCCAATAACTTATGAAACTGTGGGCACCCAAATAGGGGGTGTCACATTGGGCTAGATAATGGTGAAATCTGTAAGGACAGATTATAAAATAAATCTAAAATTACATAACTTATTAATTCATTCCTTTACCTGTATGTTTCATTATTATTTCTTTATCTGTAAGTATTTATTGAATTCTTTCTTTGTGTAAGGTATTGTGCAGGGTGTACAAAGATGAATTCAGATTCCCATGCGTCTAAACTTTCTTTCAGGATTGGACTTGAGCTTGCAGTCGTTACAGTGCCTTGGAAAGGGCCAGTGCCTTGGAGAGATACATTTAAAGTGCTGTGGGATTCAAGGGAAGAGAGAATTGGAGAAAACGTCAAGGGGGAAACGACATTTGAGCAAGATTCCAATGTAGAGATGGGATTGTAAGGCGGGGAAATAGGTGGGACAGAGGGCTCATTTTAGGTAGAATGGTGAAGCAAATACAGGGAAGAGTGACTAACGAGCCATTCAGCTGAACTTTGAAGTGTGAAAGATACTTCAGAGGTATCCATGGTTAACTTAATAAGCAACTTCCTAGGAACTCACCATCGTTTTGATAATCCCTTATGAAAATTGGAGTATTGTTTTTTAATCCAAGTGAGAAATGGTTATTTGAAAATTTAGAAAGTACATAAATTTATAAAAAGAAAAAACTCAGCAGGAACCCTTTATCCAAGGGAAATCCCTGACTAACATTGGAATATCTTCCTGCATTTGTTTCTATGTATCTTTTTAAATAGCTGAAATCACATATGACATTCCACCTTTCCATTTAAGATAATAATACCAGCATTTGCCCATGTTATGAAAAACTCTTTGAAACCATCACATTTAATGGCTTTGTACTGTATCATCAGGTGGCTTTGTAACAGTTGATTTTACCCCACCCTTTTGTTGGAAGTGTAGGGTGTTCCACGTTTGCCACTATAAACAGACTGGCTGCTGGCCAGCTAACCCCTTTTGTATTTGGCAGAGGATGGAGCCAAGACACTTATAATAAGCCGAGAGGGGACTTACCTGTTTGGTTGTTAGGAGCTAAAAGGAACCAAGAGACTCACATACACAAAAATCAGCCCTCTGACTAGAAGAAGGGGCTGTGGAGTTTCTGGGGTAAAGATTAATTTGTTGTTTAGGTCATGTCCCCTGAGAAGTTTGATCTGAGTGTGCTACGGACCTTCTGGCCCCCCCAAGGGAGATTCATTGACTTTCAGGCTCAGAACCATTTGGTTACTCCTCCCATTTCCCAGCGCAGTTTGGATGGTTAGTAAAGGACCAGAATCTTGGCTATTCACACTGGATTTCCAAGCTGGGAAGAGGAGGCAGGAAGACCTATCAAAGGGCAAGTATGTTCCGCTCCCTTCTTTGACCTGAAACATGGAACAGGCAGGTAAGATGGGAGGGGCAGGAGGTGGGAATCTATCCTAATTTCAGCAGCTTTCTCATATCCTGTTAGTTGTAGTTGGCAACTAGAAAAGTATTCTCCTTAGAAAGAAAAATAACACGAAAACTTACACCTGTCTTGCTTGGATTTTTAGTGTTACCAAATACTCGTATTTATGACTTGTTTCTTATATACTGTGAGCCCAGTCCGTTCTTCATTGGCTCTTCCTATCTTTGGCCCCATCTTTCTTTAATGAAATTTCACTCTAAGAGGAGATAATTGAATTGGAGAGAGAGACACAGGTCCTCACCAGGCAGATTGCAGTAAATTCAGCTATTAAATCCATTGTAACTCCCCGCAGACAGCAGTATATCAGACGTGGGGTTCCGTGTACTGAATACGTGTTCATTGTAACAGCACTTGGGAGCCTCCTTGTGTGACGGTTCAGCAAAGGAGGGAGACAGGAAGGGGACTGTTAGCTCAGGGCAGAGAAGCATCTGCTCTGTGGGGAGGAGAGGAGGGAGAGGCATGCCAATTTTGCTTAATAGATGCTGTTTTGAAAGTTTCTCTAGAAATAATTTCTCATATAAATGAGTCAAACTTTCTTAGGAATTTCACCTTTTAAAAGCACCATTCTGTTAATCTTTTTTTTAGAAAAAAAAAAACAAGTTAAAGTGGGCTAATTCTGAGATGGGTCTGTCTTCAGTCATATATTGGCTCCATCATTGAATAGCTTTGTGACTTTGAGCAAATGATTTAATTGCCTGAGGCCTTCATTTTTTTTTTATCTGCAAAACAGAAACAATGAAAGCACCTATGACCCAGAGTATTTATACAGATTAGAGGTGAGAAAACATTTTAGAAAATGGCTAGTATACAGTCCTGCTATAAAATGCTATTATAAAATCCAGATGCCCTTTATGATCCTTATTTATTACATAATCTTTGCCTTATTCCTCAGAACAGGATAGGAGCCATAAATAACAATTTGGGAGAAGGCAAAGCCTGACCTCAAAGGGGATATGGAATAAAGTATAGACACACAAATTTGTCATCACATGGCATAATCATCAAGTCATTTCTGTTGTCATCCTATTATTCAGGTCTTCGTCAAAGTTTCCCTAATGACCTCTTAAAATACTCATTTCTGCTAGGCACAGGGCTCAGAGAAGTAGGTGAGGGAGATCCTAAGACAAATAAGAAACAAACCTTTCTATGTCAAGTTGCTCACAGAAAAATGTACAAATTTGTATTTATGATAATTAGCATCATCCAGAAACTTGATATTACAGTTTTAAGAGCTTGCTTTAAATAGTCACAGGTAGCTGACTTAAATTTTATTATACTATATTCATACTATGGATTTCTTTGCTAGTTTCTTATTTCTCCTTTATTATTTTTTATTTTCTGGATTCCCTATGTGCTTCCCTGGATCTCCTTAATCCTCTTTAATAGCATCATTTATATACCATAATCAGAATGCCCGTGCACTCACCCGAGCCATCTAGAAAACTCTCATCCCATTCATCCTTACTTTAGCAGGTGTACCAATTAGTTTTTTCTGTGTAACAAACCACCCCTAAAAAATTAGGTGTTATATCTCAGAATTCTGTCTGCTGGTTGGGTAGTTTTACTTGCCTGGCTTGGCGAGGACTAGATGGTCTAGAATGGCCTAGATGGCAACATATTTGGGACCTTGGCCAGGAGGCTGGGAGAGCTTCTCTCCATGTGGTGTGTCGCCTTCCAGCAGGCTTCCTGAGCCTTTTAAACATGGTCGTTTCAGGGTTCCAAAGAGAAACAAAGACAGAAAGTCCAGTGTTTGAGTGTTTTTCCTGCATCTGATTGGCATCAAAGCAGTCACATGCCCAAACCCATATCCAAGATCCATGTGGAGAAATAGTCTCTTCATCTTGATGGAGAAGCTGAAGGGTCACATTGTAAAGGGGCATGATATAGGGAGGGGAAGGCTTTGTGGCCATTTTTGCAAATGGTCTGAAGTGCCTGGAGAAAGAGTCACATATGTTTTAGCCTAGAAGGGCCCCACCTCCTTTTTAGTCACAGCTCATTGGCTAGAACTAGTCATATGGACTCCACAAAGGATGGACAAAAAAGAAGGTAAAAAGTAAAGCCTTTCTTGCATTAGCTGTTGCATTTGTCTCAAATAACAGAATTATAACTCTCTTACTTGCTTTTTAAGAAAATCCATTTGGGCCTTTGAGAGTTGGTGTTATTCAAAGACACCATGAATTTGCATCTTCAGCCTTTCAGTAATCATAGGTTGGTCATCTAATGTAATAGATAGGGGTATGAGGGGGGAGGGGGGATTGTATGAAGTCGTTTACATTTTCTGAAGCAAATGGTGGCTTGACTGCTGTCTGCTGATCACATTCAAACTTCCAGCCTCTCAGACATTACACGACCCATTTCCTAATCCTGGGATCCCCTTTACCCATGTTACTGAATAAGAATCCTTAACCTTTACGGCCCACCTCAAAAATTCTCTCCAGGAAGCCGAACAAGCCTTTGTATGAGCACATTCGTTTATTTCCAAGATAATTTGGTTATAGCTGAGTTGCTGGTTCTGAGTGACTAATATTGGGCTGTTAAGTGCATTGTTCAGTCAAAGGAAAAATTGAATTACCATTTTTGCTTGCTGTCGCCCTCAGTAAATAAAGCCTGTTCCTTGCCCTCCCTTGCATAATGTAGTCTTCCTAGTTTAGAATTCATAGGCCATCTAGAGGTTAGCCAAGGTCAGAATGTTCTGCAGCTGCTAATACCATCAGTGTCTATCTACTGTGAAATAGAACAACTCCTTAAATGTGTAGGGAGCTGCTGTGTTCCAAGAACATGTCATCTTTGACCGTGAGAGCCTCCTTCAAAGAGATTATAGGCATGTCTTTTTTTGGATGGGGAAACTCCTTGAAATATAATTTGTGGGATTCTCTTTGCTTTTATAGTAAATGGTTGAAGTTGGTCCTTCCCACTCTGAGTGTACTTTTGTCCACCAGACTGTGTCCATGTTTCTTATAGAATCATGAGGTATCCTGTGTGGATAGATACGTATATTCATAGGTGTTTGAAATTAGACTAAAGTTTAGTGTTGGTGTTTTTTCCCATTTACTATACAGTTTGGTGATGTAGATGCCTCCAGTTGTGCTCATCAGTAGTCAGGTAGGCTAAAAATATAACACCTTTGGGGTGTGCTGCCATGTATAAACCTTCACACTTTGTAAAGTTTTACTAAAGAAGTGAGTCCTTATTTAGCAGATGAGGAGATTGTTATGGCTATGGTGGAAGAGACTGGTTTGTTTGGGAGGCAGCAGTGAGGGGAAACTCCTTAACTTCGGGTTTTGCATTCTTAGCATCCGTTTCTGAGGCTTAGAGCCGATGTTCATTGCCTGAGAATAGTTGCGAAGCAGCATTTTATTGCATGAGGCCCAGGGGAAATGCCAGTTCTGCAGCCTGTCACTTAAGCTTTGGAAAGTAATATACAACTTTGCAGAGAACTCAGAATGTATCTTGAGGTACTACAGCTAGGTTGAAACACAACCATGAAATTCAGTGGGAGTTAAAGTTTTTAAGACCATGCAATGGAGATCATCAAGAGTCATAAAATCATGGAAAGAGAATTCTAATCAATTATTAAAATATGCAGAGAACTGAATTAGGGAAAGAGGGCTCAAGGTCTAGTAGGATGGAATTTTCCCGAGCCATCAGCATGTGGATATAGACTTTATGTCTTCTGGGATCTGTGTGGTCATACCACTAGGAAGGTTTCCATGACATCTTCCTGGACACTGGGTTTCACTCTCCTGCTGGGGCTCTAGTCTAGGAGTCAAAGAATGACTCTACCGGGGTCTGATGAGATTAGATTGTGGGTGCTCTGTAAACTTTAGGTAGTGTTTTCCATTTACCAGGAAGCATTATAATTTTCCAACATGTTTGTTATCAATGGATTTTTTTTTAACCCATGGTAGGCATCTCATACATTGCCCAATAACAGTTTTCTGCTACCTGATCTCATCAGATAAACTTTACACCTTTCCTGTAATATATGAATTAGAACACTTAAGATAGCTAACTCGGCGGTCTCAGGTATAGACACACCATGCATTTCTCTGTTTAATCAGCACTCAGTGCATAGTTGAAGGAATTAGGAGACGGAAGGGATTGTGAATATAACTAAAGTTATTATTGGCACTTGAATTTGTCTTAAAAATATCAATTTACTTCCATAAATACCACACAGATCTTAACCATGTTTCTGTCTGATTCCTTTGTGAAATGAAAGTGCCAACAGAAGGAACCGCTTTGATAAGCAGCCTCACAATTTTAAAGTACACTTAAAGTTAATCTCTAAGAACTAATATGCAATGATTCCATTTTCCTGATTGTATTTTTATGAGCCACAGTTTTATATCCCGCTGCTTATCTGATTTGAAAACGGTTGTAATGTTTGAAGAAAGTTAATATTGAGTCTTGCCAAAACCTTAATAAACTTAGTCTTGAACTAATATTTCAGGCTTGTGTGGGATTTCTGTATGCTAAGATAGATTTTAATATTATAGAAATGCAATGGTGACCTTTCCATAAAACCTTAATAAAATTACTTTGTGATATAAATTGCAGAAGTGATGGGAACTTTCCTGAATGAGAGAATGGGTGATTTCTCTGCATTTCATAGTTTTATCTTATCTCTCATTTCTTTAGATCTATGGTGTTTTTCTTTCCTTAAGCCAAACAAAAGTAATTTCCATAACTTAAACTATAACTTAAAGACCAAGCACAGAATTTTCAAAGACATGTTTTGCCTTTGCACAGTGTCATTTGACTGCTGAGGTGCCTGTTGTCTTGACAATTCCAATAATCTCCATGCTGTTAAAAGAAGTTAAGATAGAAAATTTCATCTGTACGTTTCAAGTATATAAGATTAAAATACCATTTTTAATGTATTAAAAAGCAGCGTACAATGGTTTATGACAGGTGTTGAATAAAGATACCGTATCCAGTTTATAAAATTAAATTGATGAATTTTTGGCAAATAAACAACAGCTTCTCAAAATAAAAGTGTTGGCTGGTATCCTGATATTGAAATTCTTTGTTTCCCAGAGGCTGTCATATAGATGGCCAAAAATGACCAAACTCTGAAGCCCATAGCCTTAACTTCATAATTTTTTCCATCAGTTCTAATTTAGGGTAGAAAAAAGTCTTAAGTGTAGTCAGTGTGAATCATTATTTTCTAAATTGCTTTTTGTGGTCTCCTTGATGGCTCATCTCTTTCCAGTACACGAATCAAAGACAAGATGAAGTCTGTTTAAGGAGTAGGTAGCTGTGCTTTTTATTAGCTCCAAGACTATTTGCCAATGCAAAATCAAGTAGGCATTTCCCA